AGTTTCTCAACCTCCTTATTTCTGAGATTTCCAAAAGCATATCATGTTTGTGCACAAGCATATGTAAAAAGTCACATACCAAGGACTTCTTCAACTCCAAGCCTGTTGAAAGGATTTGGATCAAGCATTCTCTTCACTAGTTCTTTTGCTTCCTCAGAAACCTTTTTCCATGTCTCCCTCTCGAAATCTATGCTACCCCGAACGATTGCCTGTGCAATTCCTTCCTCAGATTCTGGACTAGGTATAAATACAACATTAGAAGGCACTCTGGAAAATTTTATCACACCCATTTTGTGCACATATCATATGCATTGAAATTAAACAGATATATCAGAATCAAATGTAAATTGAACCACCTCAAAAATTGAATATTGATTTACCTGCCCAAAATGGTGGAACTCCACAAAGTAGGATATAAAGGATAACCCCTGAACTCCAAACATCAACTTCAGGCCCGTAATTGCGCCGTAAGACCTCCGGAGCCATGTAATATGGACTTCCAACAATTTCACTGAATCTCTGACCTAAATTGGCCAGATTGTGCATCAGTCACATGAAAACCTAGAAAGCAATGAAACAGAACACACAAAAAAAACAGAGGAAGGAGCAGAAGTCATGTTTTAAAAGATACCTTTCTCAAAAAATATAGAAAGGCCAAAATCAATTGCCTTTAACTGAGCATTTTCACTGCTATCTGTAAACAGGAAATTCTCCGGTTTCAGGTCCCGATGTATCACTCCATTCTGGTGGCATACCTGCAAAAATTTGACACAAAATCATCATTTTTTAAGTGGCAATCTATATATATATATTATTTAAATTACTAAACTAAAACATCAAGAGTTTGCCTTGCAAATCTCAAGAATTGTCCTGGTGACAGTGGCAGCAGCGCGCTCTGTGTAATGCCCTTTCGCCACAATCCTATCGAAGAGCTCGCCGCCCTCACAAAGCTCCATGACGAGATAAACTGCCTCTTTGTCCTCATAAGCCTCTTTGAAGCTGACAATATTCGGATGCTTCGGCAAACGGCGCATGATCTCAGCCTCCCTCCTCACATCCTCGACGTCAATCTCCGTCTTCAGCTTGCTCTTCGATATCTTCTTGCACGCAAGCAACTCCCCCGTCTCCCGGTGGGTGCATCTGTGGGTAATTCCAAACTCCCCTCGCCCCAATTCCTTGCCAAACTCGTACTTGTCGAAGATGTTGTCCCCTGCGGTCTTGTCCAGCACCCAGATGATGCTGCGGTGGTGGACAGCGGCC